TTTTGAGAAGACACAAGAGTATATATATATATATATATATATATATATATTATATGCTGTTAATGAATACTGCATGCCAATTTATGGATTCTGAATAAATTCGAATTATTCTATGATGATTTGATGAGTCCATTTTCCTGAAATACCGACTTTGTGTGATATCTTGCATACAGTTTCTGAGTTATCGTATTTTTTCTGGTTTACTAATTACGCATCCTGTTGGGTTACTTGTTCCAGACTGATCCACCGCAACCGCTCTCGGTGATTGTCTATTTCTATTATCCATCTGATACCAGTGATCCGACTTTCGCTCCTATTGTGGATGGTGACCGAGTTTCCGGTCTAAAGGGTAAGTATATAGCTCCACCCGAAATTTTCTCCAAAATGCACTATTCTGCCATGATTACACGTTCAGTTGTGTATTCTATTCCTGTTCACCCATTTAAAATTTCACTATTCCTCTTTCCATGAGCTCTGGTTACAATATTTTTTTCTCTAGGTAAGGGTAATGGCTGAATATCAAACAGAAAGTTATTGTCAACATGCTTGTGGAGTGCTCAGTTAAGTTAGCGATATATCATGGATTTGCCATAGCGATACGTGACACCACCTGGATGTGAATTAGGTCTAGATATACTTCCGTCATTGCACAACATAGCTAATCCCCAGACACAAATGATCCCATTTTAAAGGGAATTAATCGGAGCTTCCGTTTTGCGGGCTAATTAAAATCGAAATCTGCTGCGTAAACAGACACCACCTCACTCCGCTCCGCCTCCCTCATTCTCATTCTTGCATATTTTTCCCATTCCAGGCATAACTTCCACACACACAATTATAGTGCAAATTTTCACACCAGCTGTGCACCTGGAACCTTTTGGCACTCAGCGATCTCTTCGGCGTAGTCATTTTTGGGGACCGATGCTTTTGCGTTTTTCATGTACAGTACACAGGAAACAGCTCGATGAATTCAGAATACTGATTCAGTGTTAGTTAACCCATAATGGAGATTTTTCTTCGTTCATCTCGAGCACTATCATTATTCGTTCATACAATTGGGTACTGTACTGAGACCTACCCATATATGTTTTCTTTTACTAGTCTGTCCACAAAGCCAAAAATCTCTTCCCTCAACCTTTTCTTTTTGTAAGTGAGTATTTTCTATTTTGTTTCTAAAACACCTTTCTACCACAAGATTTCAAGGCTTAATTAGGAGAAAGTTGATACTGTTGATACTGGGTATCTAAGACCGAAAATTCGCTCCCATGGGCCGATCTGTCTGGCTAGGTGCGCACATATAGTCCTGTATGGTTCATGTGATGGCATAGAACACTGAATGATAAAACTGAATTAGTCTTTTCATTACCAACGATCGTTGTCAGTCAGTTTTTACTGGATATCCAGTACCAACGTAGTGCTCGAACATGAGGCAAAGTGCGTTGTTATCTGACACTGATCCGGCACTCCACACCCAACATTCTCATAAGGCACTACTTCCATCTAGCGATAATAACCATGCAGCCAAATTTTCAATTCTTCTCTCGTGCATGGTCGCGCAGACTGTCTGCACTTGCACTGACTATAGCTACGCAACGGATACTATTCACTAACCCTGTTCTCAAGGTCATTCAATCCCTAACATATGATTGGGTTAAAAATGTGGTTCTTATCTTCACTTGTCTGCTGTTG